AACCATCAAAACGCCTGCAATTTGATATAAATAAATAAATGATGATGAAAACAACATTGATAGATTATTGAGACATTAAAAAATAAGCACTCACAGTTCTTTTCACGTTCCTCCTTCTCGCGTTGAGCGGCTGTATGTGATCGAAGTGTTCTGAATGTTCGAGTTTTTGTTACCTCGTCTGGCTTCATCTGGCATAGAGAGAGGGAGAGAGAGAGTGAGTGAGAGCAAGTGCAAAAAGAAATGAAGCAATAAAAAAACTAAAATTACTCATCTGATAGCTCGTCTTTCGAGAACTACTCATCTTAAACAGCCAAGACTCTAGAGTAAAGGACACTGGCACTCTGCTTCAGGAATTGAATACTCTTTACCTATTTTCTTTTTCTGGCGCTGTTTCCAAATTAGGAAACGTGTTATAACCCCCCCACATCACTACAACAAAATATTCACCAAAATGCCAGGTGGAGAAGCCAAATAAGAGAATTCCAAAAGTATTATTACGGCCAAAAAGGTGAAAAAACACCACTGACACGAAAATGCAAAAAAATTTGCTTATAAAGAAATAGACCAAAAAAGGCGTGTAGGTGAAGGGAAGAAAGCGCTACAAATAAAATGATGCAAGAAAATGGAAATCACAACCAAGTCTCTGGCATAGCCGATCCATCGTGATCAAGGTTTCAACAAAAGTTATTTCACTCAAAGTGCGCAAGAACAGTGACACAACCTTATAAATTCTATCAGACCCTTAGAACTTTGTAGTTCAAATCCAGACATCGAAGTCAGTGGCGATACGTATATACTTCTAGTACGAGTGAAAATCCTTGTTTTCTTGCATAGGTATGAGTGCGAAACCCGAATATAATTCAACGACACTCACATACGCCGGTCAAATCAAGGGAGCACTAAACACAAAATATTTTAAGAAAGAATTCCAAGTATAAATGCAACTACTTGAATAAATATTTAAAAAAATGAGAACGTATAAATTGACAAAAAAAACAGAAACCTATCAAAAGAATAAAAAGGAATTTTTAAAATAAAATAAACGCTAACCAGCACATCCCTGAGCTTTAAAAATTGTGGTTTTGCCATATATACAAATCTAGATACATTTAATTTATGAATTCTTGGTTAGAAATAAGAACAATCGATTGGCACTTGTTTCAAAGTGAACCAAACAAACTCAAAAAAACACCAAAGTGATTGTAATAATTTCTCGATGATTATACCGCGACAAGTTATCGATGTACAATGAAATCTGGGAAATGAATTTTTTTCAAGGGTGATGGAAGAATACAGAGGCGCAACAAAAAGCTGATCTGTAACAAGCCCTAGAAAGTTCAGTGTGACAGATTTAATTAAAGATATTCAATCAATTTGATAAAGCAGCGGGAAACGCTTACGTGCAAATTGAATATCCGATAAAATCTCGTGTCCAGTTACGCTACTTTGAAAAATGTTGACCTTCATTTGTCATTTAATGGGACGAGTTGATTTTGAATTACTCAGTAAACAAAGCAACGTACATGACAAGTAAGTAAATCATTTGTCCAACATATTGGCAACAAAACCAGTAAAAGGAAGACTCACATCACTCGAGTCCTTAGATTTACTATCCCCAGACTCCGAAGAGGCATGCCTCTTTCCTGAAGTCGTAGTTATCGAGTCCGCAGTGGAGGCCGCCTTTCCTGCTTTTCCTGTGCAGCTTCCCTGCCCGCGTCTTGTTGGATGTGTGGAAGTGGAAGCTGGGGTTGAATTTCCCGATTTCTTCTCTCCCTCTTCTCCTTCCTCTCCTTGTCTTCCACCTGTCTCTCCGCCTTTACTTTCCCGCTCAACATTCTCATCTTTCCATTCACCACCGGCACTAATATCATCGACAGGTTCCATCTTCGGTTGCTTGGAATCCTGCGTTGAGGCAGTAGAAGACTGATTGATCGGATTCTCCGCTGCTTCATCTTCCTCCTTAACACTGCTGAAATCTTCAGACTTCTTTTCAACACCGGCGTTGCCTTTATTAGACAATGGTGTTACATTTGCCATCATCTCTCCTGCTTCAGGCTGTGATTGAGGAGGAGGTGTATTGCCTCCAAGTTTGATACGGAGGGGAGGTACTTTTGGAGAACGACCATCATCACTTCCTACCTCATCAGTCCCGACTGTCACCTTCTAAAACGCGGAATCAGGTAAATGGAAAAAATTAAAGGAGGAAAGGCATTACTCATGCTTGCTAACATGAAGAAGCTTTCGATTGCCTAAAGCCAAGCTTCTCTGCTAAAATAGCGAAGATTAGTGGAGTAGCTTCGAAAGACTAAACTCACTCACCCAACTTGAACTATCGATGAATGAGAACTGTTTGATTACTTTGTAGTAAAGTCAGCTTGCGACAAGCTCAGATCGACCATTACTCGAAGACAAAAGTCCTTAACCACAAGCAATCAACCTTCAAGAGGAGGCAACACAAAGAACAGGCACAAGTGATAACACATACATACTTTTAATTCATTAAATCTGAGTGGATTCATAACCTACAATTGACTCAATTTATTCTTTCATTACCAGAACTGGTACTTAACAAATAGCCCTTGGGATCAGCAAAATAACTCAAGGTCAAAGAGATTACGCGTCGCTGCAAAATAAACAATTCAAATTCCGGTGGGTTACCAAGGTGTCTTTCAAAGTGATCCACTTTAGGAACATACCCTCCCCCTCCCCACCATTGATACTATGTAGTTAGTTTAGTTTAGTTAAACCCCTTACCTATTTATAAAGTGGATTGACCTCCAAAAGACATTAGAAGACATGTACTTCAAATAAAACAGTTTTGGATTAACAGCACTTCAATCTTCTCACGACCTTCCTATAGACTGAGTTAACTGTAGTTTAGCTATATTTAGTGGGTAATTAGTTTACAGTGGCAGAAAATAATACCCGCAATATCACAAAACGCTCAAAACCAGATAAAAAGGAGAAACTAATGACGACCTAAAAGATAAACTCCTCCAGTTATGTTTGACTACACTTCTGATCCCAGTACTTTCTAATATGTAAAGTTACAACAATAGTACTTTAAAGAATAATCTAAACTAACCTGATCGCTTCCAGCTTCTGGTTTCAAAGCACCATCAACAGCAACAGATACAGCCTGAGTATGCTCTCCCGACTTCAACAAGGTAGCCGCCTCAGCTGAAACCCCTGGTGTTACATCAATAATAGTAGGAGCTGAGGTCATCTCACCTGCCTCAGCATCCCCAACCGAATTAATCCCACCCTCTCCGTTTTCAACAACAGGGGCATTTTCCTGATTCTCCATGAGGGTATAATGCCCCGCCTCCATGGCGAAGCGCAGTTTCAATGGTGGACCTCCCCCAGCACCGGCAACGGAAGCACTGGGAGAAACTGTAGCGGAGGGACCAGAGTGATGTGTGGACTCTCCAGATGTCGTGGTAGTATTCACGTTTAGAGCTACAGTACCAGACAAAAAGCCACTACTTACACCGGTAACGAAACGATGGGAGTTGAGAGGGGAAGAGGTAGTAGAGGCTACAGCGCTGGGGGTTGTTGTGACCTCCTGAGGGGGCTGTAAAGGGGTCTCTATTTCTTCGTCGTCAAATGCGTAGGGATCTTTCTTGGTAGCTATGGGGAGAGAAGAAAATTGGTACAATAAACAGCATGAATGGTAGGGATGTTACTTTGTGATAGTCAAATACATCATAAAGCAATCAATCTCGGACACCACGAACTGGGTATGATTGACCTCTACTCATTAATATATTGCACTCCATTTCATTATCCACACACAATTGCAATCATACATGATTAGATTTAACTTCTGACCTTTTGCAGCTAAACCCATAATTGCAAAATAAGTTATATTACAAGAAACTCTGATTAAGTTCAGAGTATCAAAGTTCAATCAAGATTCATAATCAGTAATGTACTATTTGGGGTTAGATAACAACATATTTTCACTCTTCGAGAATAAGATTGGAATATTTGGAATATTACCCATATCAATGGCGTAAAAGTATAATCAGTTGAACCGGAGGATATGGGAAATAGTTGGGGGAAAAAATGAATCAAAATGCTTAAGTAGGAAGGCCACTATTATTGCTTTTGATATTGCCTATGATGATAAAACAAAAGTCAATGGACTAAATAGACCACTGAGCTAGGTGAGATTGCTGTAATCATCTTTCGAAGAGCCATGAACAGATATGACGGCATTTTGAGTCCTAAATACCCCCCCCCCAATCCGCAACTTTCCATGTAGGTCTAAATATTTGCGTACTTTTCGAACTATAAACATCCACGACGGCACACACACACACCTAGTCCACATATCGAGTGACTTTTGGATAATAATTCATAAATTTTACTCGACATCGCCTTGACTTATCTCAATTTTGTTGCACGATGAAAATCGGGAGCAATTCAATGGGAGTAGCTAGGAGAGTGCTTGATAACCGCAGGAAATGTTCAACTCGCTCTGTATCGTCTCCCCCCCCCCCCCCCTTACTCCTTAAATGGTCCAATATGCTCGCTCGTCATTCCACACTTAGGAAAGGCGTACATATCCTCTCACACTTCGAGGTGCGTCTCACAAAGCATACCTGAATCAACCTCCTACGTAGTTCCACTAACGGGATTTAGTAAAATTACAGTGGACAAAACCGTTGTCCTGCTTGCCAATTTCCTATTTTGACTCTAAGACGATGAGAGTGAATATGGGTGTCATGACTGCCTGTACAATGAAATTTGGGATGGAGGATAATAAATGACCCTGTACATGAAAGATATAAAAAAATACGTGTAGATAACTCTAAACGAAATAAAAGTATGCATCAAGTCAAGCACACAATAAATGAACAGTTGATTGAGCAGATTAATTTAACTAATAAACGGTACTTAGTGCGTTGATATAAGAAATAAGAGAAGAGATGTTAGCTAATATGAGAAGAAATCAGCGTAAATTCCTTAATCTCAATACTTTCTTATAGGAGTATCGAAGTTTGAATGACATTCAGTATTGCCTATTCTATTTCAAAGATATGCCAAACTTAAAAAAATTCTCACGACCAATTCCGAACTTGAAAAAATGACTCACAGAGTCGAGGGAGTTGGTGGATATTTCCTGTGGAATCCACGGAAGGTGCCGGTCCAGAGACGGTATTTCGACGCACAGCACTAGGAGAATGGTGTCTATGATGATGCAGATGGTGCGGGGAGCTGGATTTATGGATGGATTGAGAAGCAGCAGGACTCGAACCAGAGAGATCAGGACTTGTACGACGTTTAGAAGTAATTGACTCCTCCAAAGATCCCCGACCTTGATGATAACCTTCAAACGAAGATAGAGGCGGAGAAGACTTTGGTGCAGCTGACTTCTTTACTGAAAGAAAAGATGATGGTCCACCGGGAGTCGAGCCTGGGAACTCTCTAGATTGGTTAATCTGAAAGGCGGAAGAACTTATTTATTTATATTGCTCGTTAATTACTAGTTTAGGTAGCGACGTAATGCCTTGATCTTTGTGTGCTTTAACGCGCCACTACTATCGAGTGATTCTGCGAACTCATGAAGGCTTCCTATTGGTAGATAATATGTACGTCACTTACACATCAATCTATTGTTATTGGTGACCGACCTAATGTGCAATGTATGAATTCGATAGACAGTAAAATAGCCCGAATTTATTGCGTTTGATAATCTAATTGCAGAGTGCTTAACGTGTAACATCCCATGAAGATTGAGAGATTTAAAGTACCCAAGAAAGTTTCAAGTTATCTGCCCACTAGGGAATTCAAGAAGTAGTTATTCGAGTATTTAAGAGATATGTTCACATACGAGTGTTTTAAGAAACAATAAGCTTATGCTTCTATACGATTAGATTTTAAAATATAATCCATGCTCTTCTTATGCCTCCTTTGCTTAAAAATGGATAAATAGTTTAGTTAACATTTCTGTAAGCGGGAAGGGGCTTCACATTCATTCCTAATAGGCGTTTCGTTCTCTACCTCCTTCTGTAATTGAATTGCATTGAGTTTACTCGATTAGCATGGAGAGATCAAACTTCTGCCCCGGCGTAATTCTATGATATCGAGCGATTTTAAACAAAGATATTGGGATACCAAGAAAGGAAACGGGGTGCAGTGAAGTCTACTTTGCGAGAAACTCAAATTCTATAACCTCTTTTGTTGACCACTAAATAAGGTGTTTGCATGCCTTTCACCCCTATTCGTAGCGAAGAATGAAGCTTCAACACTTTTACCTCAATAAACAAATAGCCCATTAATTCAAGTTTTATTTCAAATATTACGCTTTCTTAAGGAAGAGAAAAAACGACTTTCATCTCCACTGCACCCGAGCACCTGGGTAGCCCTGATTCTATTGGGAGCAACAATCGCCTTTTCACTCAGGAACAGGATATAAGGACACCAAAAACCACAAACTAGAACTTGGTTACGCACCTGTTTGAAAACCATTTGAGAGGACTCATTGCTGCAGACATCAATAGGCCGATCACCGTTGTTGTTGCAAATTTTCATATCGGCGCCATAGCGTAGGAGGGCTCGAATAATTCGAGCGTGGCCTTCACGAGAGGCCTCGTGAAGGGGTGTATCACCCGTGCCCGCTCCGCTACCTCCTCCACGAGGAACAGCGCGAATGTTAGGATTAGCATTGTGTTTGAGTAAATAACTCACCAAGTGAATATAATTCTGACTGCTGCTTTCGTGCAAGGGAGTACGGCCTGTAATATCACAGAAAATAGGCATAAATTAGATTTTTTAAAGAAATTACTCGCCAATTGATCCCCTCAGTTAAGTAAATGGATGAGAAAGGACTGGTAAAGTGGTTGTATAAGTGATAATTTAGAAAGTAAATTGAATCTTAAGAGGTTGTTCCGTTCAGATTTATCCAAACAGAATGATTTCACTTGTAAAAGAAATATGAAATAGATAGAAAATACATATTCGTTTAAATAAGTGGATTTCATGAAGCATTACTAACCGAAAAATAATTTCACACAATTTCAGAAGAAAGAACCAGGAAGCACATAAGGTAAACTGACGACGAGACTTGCGCAACTACGAGTCATGGTTTAGACTAAGAAACACAAGATGAACTACCTGGTGAAATTTTGGAACAGACTCTTAAATCTGGGAATCGAACACTAAAAATATGCTGAAGGATTCAAACAATTTTCTGAGAAGGGTGCTGATTACGTAACTTCTCTACTCCAGGTAACGCATTTTCTATCATTTCATATATGAGACCTCCCCCCCCCCCTCCCCACTTTTCTTTCACCCCAGGCATTACTATTTTGTTAGTCTTATTCATCAAAGCTTAAGCTATTTGAAATCCGAACCGAGACATATGTAAGGGATGATTATTCAAACAAACATATTTTTCTCTACAAATTAAAGATTATATATATATATATATATATATATATATATATATATTGCTGAAAATGTTTAATAAATGCATTTGAATTTCATTATACGCCACAGAATGCTGGTGCTTTCCGTAAGACTCTCGAAGATATTAGAATAGAATATAATTCATGCCGGTAAATTTATGGGCATAGGGAACAGATAATAAAGGGAAATAAAGGCACTATAATTCTAATGCTTTCAAGTCCAATAAATGATATAAATAACGTAAACTCAACATTTGAATCCTGTTCATTGACATCGGACCCCTCTTTGATTAAAAGCTTAAGTGTCAAAATATCCCCCTTTTTAGCAGCCCTCATGAGAGAAGATTCCGGAGACGCAACCACTCTATGCTGCTGGGTTAAGATCTGTGCGCTATGCTGCTGCTGAGATGACTTTTTTGAAACACCAGGAGAGTTTTGGGAAGGGGTGGAATTTACATGTCCATGGTGAACGTGGGAGTGACAATGACTAGTTGATGGCCGATCAATTTGATGAGAAGATTCAGACTGAGAGGAGTTGTGTCGATTTGGGGTTGAGCCAC